TCCAGTGGTTTTTCTGTGATGCGGTAACAGACAGACAAAAATTCTAAAAACTATAGATTCGGCTCCTGTATCGATAATAACGTTTATTTAAATAAGATTTTCCAAAAAATATTTAACGTACGGATTCGGCTTAGTTACAATTTTATTATATAGATTGAGGCCGGTAATACCTACATAGTGCGTACTGCCGCAAGTTTGTTGTTGTGACTAAATAAATATATCAATTTTGCTCCTTTTAATCCAAAAAAAGGGAAAAATAAAAACTTTTTAAAATAAAATAAAAACCGGCTTCAAAAAAAGCACTAAAAAGTAAAAAATAACTGATTGGTAGTTTTAATTTACTATACATACCTAATCAAATATTATCGAAGTCGGTGTGCCAGCCCATACAAAACAAAGCACACCGACTTTATTTTTTTGTTAAAAAGTTTTTATTTTTCTCTTTTTAGTGTAGACAGTAGGCAGTGGTAGGTAGTGGTAGTAGCTAAGTTAGAAGAAAGTATTTTAATAAAATATTCGCTTAAACCGTTTAAGTTACTTTGATGCCAATTATACAAGGATTTACAAACTAAAATTCGCTTTTATTAGTAACACTAAAACTTCTGGATCTAAAATCCGATTCTAATGTGTTAGGCTTACCAAATCAAACAAAATAAGCATAATTCAAAGTGTATTAGTTATTGAAGAGTTTCACCTGTCCACTTTCTGGCCTTACCATCAGATCAGGTCAACGATACCGAACCACTTTTTTTTTTAACGTTGGGAAATGCATTTACGCACGACGTGTGGGACTCACCGGCGTAATACAGCCAGTACTACCCACTAAAACCCAACAAAACCTTCCCCCGTCTTAATGGGGCGTCGCAGGATCGCTTACGCATTCAACTACAACGCCCCGACGGCAGGTCTGCCGAAGGAGACCACCACAACCATGGGGTTGCTCCAAGGTCCACTCTGCTATCAGAGAAGTACCAGGAGCAACCCGCATGGTACACCGCCCCCCGAAGAGGGCCACCTCCCACCGCCCCCCGAAGAGGGCCACCTCCCACCGCCCACCGAAATGGGCAACCTCCCTGTGCGTTTCTTAGCTTCGCGCCCGGTTATACCGAGCCACTGCTCTATCAACGGAAATAGAAACACTTCAGAGTTTCAAGTCCATATGACAATTAGAAGTAGGTTAAATTCATCATTAGCTATTTTTCCACCCTTAGGGGTGGTATTTTTTTTTTAAATTTAAATGGGACCAATCTGGAAGTATGCACTTTCAAACAAAACAAAAATTGTCCAAATCGGTTAATGACGGAGTTCTGAGGTAAAACAAAAAAAAACATACAGCCGAATTGAGAACCTCCTCCTTTTTGAGGAAGTCGGTTGATAATGCTCCAAACACAATAAATATAACAAAACAAAAATAATGTACTACTTTAACGCCGTAAATAACGTTACTTTGAACACAATGAAATGTTTCCTCCACGGAATGCAACCAAATCCTCCTTAAATCGAATTCTGTACTGCGCAAGGTCATGAAAGTACACAGGACAGTACTGTATACCTAGTCAATATTAGCGATATTTTATATTCATTTATTAATCTTAAAGAGTAAATATAAATCTAATACAAGCACTTTTGAATCATCAATGTAATTTAAGTCTCAGTGTAATCAGTCCGTGAGAAAGCTACCACCTGCTCGGAAAGCAGTTCTGCTGAGAAGAGCCGGCGAGAAACTCAACAATTGCTCTTTTAAACATAATCAAGTAACATTGTATTTAATTTATTAACATTTTAGATATCCCGCAAATGAGTACAATAATCTCAAGTATATCTGTAATCTCCTTATTCTGTGATTATATCTCAAGTACACGTAAGTAGCGACACAGCAATCAGCATGTTGAGTGTTGAGTCACTGAGTGAATGGAAACTATCATATACAGTTGATTATAGTTGTAACTCGTAGACTTTTTTATAAGCGAGCTGATAAACCTTAATATCAGCGGATGTTACTGCCACATGTGAGTGGACAACATCCAAGAAATGCGGCAGAATGCAAGCAAATGTGACACACGATACGAGAAAAATAATAGGTCCGTGTATGTTTATTGTGTCACAAGACTAGTTGAAGGACTATCTATACTATCATAAAGAGAGACTTATGTTTGCGCGCGCTAATCTCAGGAACTACTAATGCGATTTGAAAAACTCTTTTTGCATTAGATAGCCCGTTCATTGAGGAAGGCTATAGGCTATATATCATCTTGCTACTACCCAAGGGAGCGGAGCAAATAGGTACTATTTAAATTTTATGATGTTTATAACATCGACATACAAAATAATTTTAATACTATTTATAGTACAACCATAAATAAATTGTCTTTATTATGTATATACTATAAAATTACATAAATGTATGTAAATACGTACCTTGCAGGAGGAACTTATTCAATATTTTGTCAGGAATCAAGGAATTATGCCGCTGTAGAAGAGTAAATATGTATGATATAGTTACCTAGTTAATAAGCAACACCAAATACCAACTACCAACACCTATTCGTTGACCTCATGACCTGGTCACTTGACCACAGATTAAGGAGATGCGGTTGACAATGGATGACTAATAAATTATAAACAAAACACTTGACTTGTGTGTTGACCACAGATTATGGAGACTACAGTCTTGACCAATGCTAATTGATGAACTTGACAAATGACATAATCGAGTGTCAACGTCAGTCTTTAAAGTCACAGGTTAAATACAAAATAAATAACATATTACCACAGTTAAAAAACAAGTACCTACTACGATCTTTTTTATTTTTTTTATTTTTGGTATTCAGTGACAAACGAGCAGACAGCCCACCTGATGGAAAGCGGTACCTGTCGCCCATAACACATACGGATCATGCACTTAGGTTTTATGCTAAGAACTGCAAGAAATGCAGAACCACAGGAGCGTTGTCAGTGTGAGGACTATGTAAGGACGATAATATGCCTCTTGCCTGCAATTGGCTACCTTATCCTTTAAACGGAACACAACAATGTAATCATTGTTCCTTGACGGCAGAAATATATAAGGGGGTGGTACCCATCCAGTCGGACTCCTCTGGCTTGACAAAGTCCTACCACCAGTATACCATCATCTAATTTTAATAGAGTATGAGTTGGACGCACATTAAGGATTTCAACCGTAAATCAATCTGTCCTATCATTTTGTACATACGTAATCTAACAGGGACGATTTCTTGAAAGGAGAGCGCTACATTACATTATATTACATTTAGCGATTATGTTAAGCAATTTATTTCTTTTGTACCTATTTTTTTGCTTCTATTGTGTTCGCATCTTACATGTGCAATGTATTGTACCTAGAAGTTAGACTCGCTGAAGGAATAATTGAGAACGAGAGGTGCATCGTGTGGTGGTCCTGACTGACTGATGGATCAACACACAGCCTAACCTCTGGTCGTAGAAACGTGAAATTTGGAGGACGTATTCCTTATAGTGTAGGCATCCGATAAAAAAGGTTTTTTTGAAATTCATCCCCTAAGTGGGTAAAATAAGGGATTAAAGATTGTATGAAACTCTGTCATTCATAATGTCAAATACACAAAAAATGATGTTTAAAATGAAAGATTTAAGATAAAAAATAAGAAATATATTAATATATAAATATAAGTTTATATCGGGAAAGAATTATTTATGATCAGAATTATTTGTAAATTGGTATCAATGCTATTCAATACAATTAAACAGATACGTACGTGTTTTTTTCCAATTCAATCTAAGAGGGTAAATGTTTATATGAAACTCGGTAATTAATATGTAAAAAATTACAAAACATAAAAAAAATCACCTGTAGACGATTTTAGTTTTAAAATCACTCTCTGTAAAATGATGTCCACATAGCCTTAAATATAAAGATTGTGATTTCGCTAATTTAGATCGTCTTATAGCTTTAGCCCACATTTTCTTCAGTGATTGTCTTTTGGGAACAAATGATACCCATTTTCTTTACCTCCTGGTACTGCACAATTTGTCATTTTAATTTAATTTTAAATAAAATGAAAAAATATCTATCCACGCCTTATAGCTTTACAATATACTGAGGATCATAGTGATCGCGACATCTGGCAGGAGAAAAAGGCAAAATTTAAATATAAAGTTGTGTAAAAATTTTATAATGGGAAAAATACTTTAGATACATGGAAAGAAATTAAGGATGAATCTTTACGCATTTCGTACACTTGCACAACTTCGCCTGATTCACCATTTTTGTTGAAAATTTGGAAAAAAACGAATCGTTAAGGAAACATTACTAATGAAGAAAGAAAAATCAAGAAACATATTATATGAAGATATTCTTCACATCTTTTAAGTTTAAGACACTTTTTCGTCTCACGTTTCGATTAATAGATTGCTGAAAACATTTTTCCTTTTTCTATATACTTACAAATTTTCCAGAAAATAAAATATGAAAAATTATTGATTTATGAAAAATCGATTCATGGAGTCTATCATTTAACTAACGACTCACCCTCGCTTCTTAATATAAACTTTCATCCCGATTTTCCATTCTTCCATCCCTCTTAAGGGATAATTTCCGGGATAAAAAGTATAATATGTCCTTCCCAGGGTCTCAAACTATCTTGTTACCAAATTTAATCTAAATTGGTTCAGTAGATCTAGAGATTATCCCCTACAACCTGACAAACTTCAACTTTTTATAATATTAGTATAGATTATATTAAAAAAAATAATTAAATATGATAAATGGATAGAGAGATCCGAGTATCATCGTCGCATGCTTTAAAATTAAAAAATAAAAACACAATATTGGCGGGGTTAGTTTATTGGGGTGTCGGGAAGGCATTTATATACAAGGAAGGCGCCAGGTCAAAGCGCCAGCGCGAGCGCGGCGTGCGCGTGCGCGTGGTGGTGCGCGTGCGCGTGCGCGAGGTGCGCGGGCGGTGGCTCCGGCTCGTCCAGGTCCAGCGCCGCGTCGATCATAGTGGTGTCGTGCAGCAGGACGCAGGCGCGACGCGCTCAGCGCGCCGCCGCCCGCCACCGCGCCGCCGCCGCCCGCCGCGCCGCCGCCCCCGCCCGCCGCCCCCGCCGCCGCCGCCGCCGACGCACACCTCTGCAACAGAGCGGCCGGTCAGCGCTCGCTCGCCCACACGCTCACACACACTCTCGCGCGGGCGCTCACCTTGCAGCGGCACGGGGTCGAGGTCGAGACTGTGGTTCATGTACGCGTGCCGCGCCTCGCTCTCGAACAAGTTCGTGTAGCTGCCGCCCAGCCCCGCCAGCCCGCTAAGTACACCTGCACAAAATATGTATATTAAATTCATAAAAGCTTTAAATAAATCTAGTCGTAAAGAACGATGCTTAAAATACCAGCAATGCGACGGACAAAGCTGGTACGATAAGTCGCGTGACTCACCGTCTCGATGGTGCGCGGGAGGTGTCGGCAGCGGCGAGGGCGGCGCGGCGGGCGGGGCGGCGGCGGGCGGCGCGGGGACGGGCGCGGGGGCGGGGGCGGGCGGCGCGCACAGCACCTGCGCGAAGCGCGGCGGCATCTCGTCGCGCGCGTCTCCCGACACGATGCCGCGCCTGAGCACACACTCGCTACAGTGAGCCACTCAACACGATACGGTAAAGTCAAGAGCGGAGGCGGAGGAGAGGAAACACATACCGGTCTATGAGGCTGGGCGCGAGCGGGCCGCAGAGCACGTGCCAGCAGTTGGCGCACGCGTTGCCGCGCGAGTACGGGTTGGGGTTGGCGACGCCGCGCCGCGTCGAAAACGAACCCTTTATCTGCAACACGAAGCGAGAGACAGAAATTATAGGCCGACTTTATGAGTGCCATTCCGACAGTAAAGTCATAAAGACAGGGCTCACGTCTTCGTTGGTGGTCTGGTCGGTGGAGGCGAGGTATGTGTGGAAGCCGGCGAGGCCGAGCACGGACCACACGGACAGGAAGCACACGGCGGCCACCACGGCCGAGGCGGGGCTGGCCCGCAGCGCCGCCATCGCGCCCGCGCCGCGAGCCAGCAGCGCTAGGTGCGCCACCGCGCACGCGAACACGAACACGGCCAAGAAGGACAGCGACACCACGAACGCGTAGAAGTAGCGGTAGTTGCGCTTGCCCACGCAGTTGCCCACCCAGGGGCAGTGGTGGTCGAAGCGGTCCACGCAGTTGTCGCAGAGCGAGCAGTGCGAGGCGCGCGGCGGGCGGAACATCTTGCAGGTGAAGCAGTACTTGAGCTTGACGGCGCGGCCGCGCACGAGCACCTCGCGCGCGCGCGGCGGCGGCCGGCCCGCGCCCGCGTCGCCCAGCGCGGCCGCCTCGTGCGGCGCGGCGCGCGGGATGATGCCGGGGTCGGACAGCGCCGTGCGCAGCAGCGCGGCCAGCGTGCTGGCGCACAGCGCGGCGCCCGCGGCCGGCACGGCGGCCGACACGCGCGTCGCCAGGAAGGGGCAGTCGAAGGCGAAGTGCAGCGCGCACGTGCCGCAGATGAGCGCCAGCGTGAGCGCGAACACGCCGGGGTGCGGCGCCGTCATCAGCCGCCCGTCGCACCAGAACCGGTTGCGTCCCGCGAACACCTCCCACTTGCGCGTCACGCGCCGCGACGCCATCGCCGCATCACCGCCACCGCCCCCACCGACGACCTCTCTTCTGATCAAGTCATTATTATCGTACTTAATATTATAAATATGAAAGTTTAGATGTTTGGATGTTTATTACTCAATCACGACAAAGCGACTGAATGGATGTGGATGAAATTTGCATAGAGATAGATTATAACCTAGAATAATAATCGGCACAGAGATAGACTATAACCCGAGATAGAAATAGCCAATTTTTTATCCCGGAAAATCATATGGTTCTCGTGGGATAGATTTCTTTCTGTTTTTGTAAATAATATTTATTGCTCATATATAATATTTTATGATCTTTTTGTAAATATTGCCTGAAATAAATGATGAAATTAAAAAAAAAATAATTACGCATAAATCTATGCAAAACAAAAACGAAAAACCAAAGGGAACACTAGTCACTTAGTCTAGCTTCGCTCGCCCATGCTTCCCTAGGTATCGTTTTGAGAAAGATTGTTATTACTTTATTAGAAACATGTTAAAGCAGTGCATACGGAAAAAGCAACCGAACTATAATTTTTTTTAACTTCCAGTAGTTCTTATGAATTCCAAAAGTTAACACATTTTTATCTAAATATAGAATTGCCTCTAGGAAATCATATCAAAATATACTTTATTCAAATAGACTTTTACAGGAACTTTTGAATCATCAATTTTACATTCTAAATTTAAATTAAATGTCAGTGTAGTCAGTCCGTGAGGAATCTACCACTGACTTTGAAGGCAGTTGTGCTGATAAGAACCAACGAGAAACTCAACAGTTGTTCTTTTAAAATATAGATAAACAAGTCTAGCAGTATCAACATCTGTTAGCTGCCTGACTTTCCTAACAGCAAACATAGTGGAGCTCAGTCTACTTGCGAGAGAAGACAGATGAGAACTCCACTGAAGGCCAAAGTCCAATGTTATACCTATGAATACTGTGGAACCTACAGTATTAATAATCTCATTATTTAAAAGCAAACTAAAATTCTGTCTTGTTACATTACGTACAGTAAATTGAAACATAATTTAATTTTCTTAGTGTTTAATGCTAAATAATTATTAATACTAAACCACTTAAGTATGTATGATAGTACACTGTTTACTTCAGCATAATCAGTTATATTTCTATCAACTTTAAAAATTAAAGAGATATCATCCCCAAACAGTACAATATAACACAACCCTTTAGCATAGAAAGGAAGATCATTTATATAAACTAGAAACAAAAATGGACCCAAAATAGATCCCTGCAAAATGTCTTTGTTACTTTAGTTGGAATAGTAGACTCGTAAAGAATACGTTCGTATCATATTTTTTTTAATAATAAATGTTCTCAATATTTGTATATTGAATAAAAACTTTTTAACAAAAAAATAAAAACCGACTTCAAACAAAAGCACTAAAAAGTAAAAAATAACTGATAGGTAGTTTTCATTTACTATACATACCTAATCAAATATTTTCGAAGTCGGTGTGCTTTGCTTTGTATGCGCTGGCACCGATTTCGAAAATATTTGATTAGGTATGTATTTAATAGGTAGGCTTTAATTACTTAGCCAAAGCACACCGACTTCAAAAATAATTGATTAGGTATGTATAGTAAATGAAAACTACCAATCAGTTATTTTTTACTTTTAAGTGCTTGTGTTTGAAGTCGGTTTTTATTTTTTGTTAAAAAGTTTTTATTTTTCCCTTTTTAGTGTAGACAGTAGTAGCAAAGTAAAGATTCTAACGTGTTAGGATTGTCAAATCAAACAAAATAAGCCCAAACTCAAAGTATCTACTATTAGCCGTTGAAGAGTTCCACCTAAAATAGAAATACTTGCAAAGTTTCAAGTCAATATGACAATAGAAGTAGGTTAAATTCATCATTAGTTGTTTTTTCACCCTTAGGGGTGGTATTTTTTTTAAATTTAGATGGGACCAATTTGGAAGTATACCCTTTCAAACAAAACAAAAATTGTCCAAATCGGTTAATAAATGACGGAGTTCTGAGGTAACTCTCAAAGGGGATCTAGAAGAATTAAAGTTATTTACAGCGACTTTCTGAACAGTACCTGGCGCTTTGCAGTAATGTAGCTTCCTATTAGAAAAAGAATATTCCGGGGAGATTTTTAGTCATAACTTTAAGTCAAAGTTGTCTTCACAAAGCAAACTTAACATTCACAAGTTTACTTTCAATCATTTCGATTTCTGCTACCAAGGGTAAGATTCATAGTAGTAACTTCAGTTTGAATCATATTCATCTCTGCACAGTGCACTTTACATTATGAAGCATACTTTCAATTATTTTGATTCCTCAGTCTATATATAATTGACATTGGACATATTCCTAAGCTTATTTATTTAATCAAATTTATCCCATATAAATATAAATCACTTTTCTGTAAAAATTTGATAATGATGTAAGCTATAATTAATTTATATCAAATATCAAAGTCGTTTTAAAATCTACTTTCATTCCAAAGTATTCAATAATAATTGCGCTGACTTTAATAAGTAAGATTTTCTCAAGTACAGTAAGCATATGACAAGACTATGAGTATGAAGAATTTCTTATGCTAAAAAAAGAACTTTATTATAAAGTGTCAGTGCAAACTGTGAATTTTGACCTCAGAATCTGATCAGTAATTTTAGATATTATGGATATTACCCACTACATCCAAACTTACAACTATACCTTTTTATATTAGTGTAAATTAAAAAAAATAAAAATAAAAGAGCAAATGTTACAATTTCATACAATCTTTAATATTAAATAAAACTATCTTTTTGGATTATTTTGCGGATTTATTTAGATTTTTGGTTCCCGACGTTTCGAATGCTTTACAGCATCCATGGTCACGGGAGGGTTTCTCCCGTTATTTAATAATGTCAAACATTCGCGTAAATTTAAGAAAGTATAATCTTTAATATTATTTATCATTAAATATTGCATATTTTATTTAGTAATATAAGCAGAAAATTGAATTTCTAGTAGAATAGTAAAGATGTTAACAGATTGATATCATGCAAATATTTAACTAATGTTATAATGTATTAAATCTAACAAATGTATACTACTGTATAATACTGAATACTGAATTTTAGTAATTTTTGTTTTATATTTATAAATATTTTACCTGTGTTATATGTGGAAATAAAGACTTATTGGCTAGTTTTGCATATGAGTTGGCATTTTCATATATATTTTATAATTGTCGTACATTAATTGTTGTGATATTGTAGTAATTCAGTGCAATTTAGTATACATATTTGTCTGTTTTGTAAATATTGACAAAAGTTTATGTAAATTAGGATATTTAAAACAATCAAAACTTAAAATAAAACGTATATTTTATCATTTATGGTTTATCTCTGATAATCAGAAGAAAGATAACATCCTCATTGTCACCATGAGAAAATTAGACAGACCCAGACAAGTTGAGCAAATTTAATAGAGACCATGGGTTTAGTCCTACTGTATAGAAGATGTCATTTAATTAAATAATTGGGCCACTGTCAATCAGTGAATACAGGCGCGAGCGCAGCGCCTGTTTTGTTTCTCAACAATCACTTCATATTTTTAACAACGGTTTTTAGACTCACCTAACACAGAATTCCCAATTAATCAATGTAGAGTTTCATATGTTGATCCATATAGAACATTTGAAGAACCCAGACCAAAATTCTTCTCATAAAACTTTCTTTTACTTTAATATTATAATAAATAATAAAGTAGGACCTGGATAACTTTAAATTACTCGTGAATTATTTCTTAAAATATTCAGTCTTATATACGAAAACCTCTTAATCGAAATATAAAAATATTATTTTAATTTTAGTAAAGTTAGTTTATCAAAACTTTCTCTGTTCTGTTGCTTTTGACAATTGAACAAATTGACATCACTCAAACCATAAGCAATAATTTTTATGATCTCGACCAATCATAGAGTATATTGCTACATATACAAAACCATAATGCTATGAAATATAATAGTTATCATTAGGTGTGATTTGTTTTCAGTATATAATATTTTATTTTTATTTTTAAATAACACATGTATTATGTCATTTAAAGTATATGAATAAAAAAAAAATTCTTAAATGTAATAAATTCTAAACGAAATGCAACTGTCTCAGGGAAATGTCAAATTTATCAAACGTCTCTAGTCAGTTCCTTCAAAATCATATTTCATATTTCCTAATTCATATTAGATTCGGTAATCGGTGGCTAAACGAATAGATGTTAGATTATAGATACGTAATCTCTCCAGACTAACCGGTTCTAAGATTCGGCGCTCTAACTTTTGTGGTATCGCCACATGTGATTTAAAAAAATTTCAAATATGTGCACAAAATCATAATCGTAGCTCAATAACAAAACAGTATAAATTATGTGGTGTATTATGTTTCATTTCTTGGAAAATATTAGAAGTGAAATAATTCATGCCTATAGAAATCAAGAAAGATGGGAAAAAAATATCAGATTGTTAAATTTTTAGTTCAAACTAGAAAGAAATAGTTATGGAATTAATGCTTACAACTGATTTAAGCATATAGAAGACACGCAACATGGGATCTAGTCGAGAAACCTTAACGGTTGGCGCGCTTTGCGTGACGTGGTACGCATTAAGCTCGGCCAGCAATGTGGTGGGAAAGCTTGTATTAACAGAATTTCCATTTCCTATGACGGTTACGATGGTGCAGTTATTGTCTACAGTATTATATAGCATGCCAGCTTTCGCTGCGTGCAACGTGCGAAGAGCTCCTAAATTTCCCTGGAAATATTATTTTAAAGTACTTATACCATTAGCTATTGCCAAATTCTTCACAACTATGTTTTCACAAATTTCCATATGGAAGGTGCCCATCTCGTATGCACATACAGGTAAATAAAAGTAATAATAAATTAAAGGTTAAAGGTAGGGTTAAAAATGGGTTTAACAAACCTGATAGTAGTCAGTGAGACTTCACTAAATTAGAATAAAATAAATATTAAGATATGGCACCAAAGTGCCATTACCATATATTTTATTTTGTAAAATTATAAGTTTGATTCAGTATCATTTGCATTTTCCCCTTAATTATTGTATATTTTGTGGGTAGTAGGTGGCTTGCTGTAAACCATTTCAACCCTTGGGAACTAAAGTTCAAAATAAAACACCAACAACATGTAAAAATTGTTTTTATTAATTAGTTTTTGTTAAAATATTTTTCTAAAATTTTATCAATAAAATTATTAAATGAGAACTATGTTGTTGCCAGTGAAGGCAACAACGCCACTATGGACGGCGGCGCTAGCGCGCGTGCTGTTCGGCGAGCGGCAGTCGGCGCGCGTGCAGGCCGCGCTCCTGCTGATCGCAGGCGGCGTGGCGCTCGCGTCCGCCACCGAGCTGCAGTTCGACGCGCTGGGGCTAGGCGCAGCGCTGGCGGCCGCCGCGCTGCTCAGCCTGCAGCATCTGTACTCCAAACGCGTGATGCGCGACAGCGGCGTGCACCCGCTGCGCCTGCTGCAGATGCTGAGCGCGCTGGCGCTGGTGCCGCTCGCACCCGCCTGGCTGTGGGCCGAGGGCGGCGCGCTGGACGACGCGGCGCCGGGCGAGCACGCGGCGGCGCTGCTGGCGGCGGACGGCGCGCTGGCGTGGCTGCAGGCGCTGGCCGCCTTCAGCGTGCTGTCGCGCGTGTCGCCGCTGGCGTACGCGGTGGCGTCGGCGGCCAAGCGCGGCGTGGTGGTGGGCGCGTCGCTGCTGCTGCTGCGCAACCCCACGCCGCCGGCCAACTTGGCCGGCATGTCGCTGGCGCTGCTGGGCGCGCTGGCCTACAACCGCGCCAAGGTGCTCGCGCCGCCGCGCCCGCCCGACGACCGCCGCCCGCTGCTGCCCGTCTGACGCACGTCCTGAATGGTCAAGCTGTATATATCCATAAAAAATGTAGTATATATCCATCAATCGTATTTAATTGGAATTACTAAATAAGTATTATATTAATTAGTATTCATGTAATGTCCGACTGTAATAAAATTTTGAAATGTAAATGTAGTTATAACTCTTGTGGCAAACTTGGCTCGATATTTTAGTGAAAACTTAGCTTATAACATATTTTGCGAAACGCTAGTCTCTCTGCACTTAGCGCCGGCTCGCTCGTGCGCAGGTTTCATGCTGGTGGTGTTCACATCATAACATTATACATATGTTCTCACTACTTTGTCCCATTCGATTATATATTGATATTGTAAAGAACCGCGCTAAGTTTGGTGCAACGACATACAATAAGACCTATCTTTATATAAAATATTGCATCATGGTAAGAAAATATTTATACTGACCCTTTGATGTGATACTAACTAGTCTATAGAGCATTTAAAGAAAATGTCATACATATCTTTAAATTAACTTTGTTGTATTGATTGGATGGACATATTATGTTATGCTACACACTGGGAGCCGCGGACTTCGCCGACCAACCAATAGGAACGCGTCGCGTGCGAGACGGCAGAGTGCTCAAATATGTACGTAGTACGTACATAATACTGTGAATTTACTTAGGTTACGTCCTTATCCTTGGTGGATGTAGATGTCAAAAGCTCATATTCTTTAAAAAACATATTTTATGCAGTGAGTAACGGTCGAGCCATTAGTTTTTGTATATTTTGGAGTTTTTAGCAAATTTTATTATATTTTGTTATTAATTATGTTTTTTATTTCTTTACCTTACTTCTTGAAATTAAATCATTTTAATTTTTTGGCTGACTGAGAAAGAAGAGGAGCTCAATTCATTCAGTTCACGTCATCTTTTTTGTTTATGTTACTTGATATCTTTGCTATTTTTTTATAAGGATAAAACTATATATATATACCAGAAGGATGTGGTAATTAGTATCATGTAAATTTAAAAAAATATCACCTTTAAGAATACCTGCAAATTACAATCACTAGTTTGAAGTCATTTTATGATGGTATACCTTTTTTTCTTAATAAAAACTTAAAAAGAAACCGTCTTCCAGTGTATAAGAAGTTTTTAATATCACATTTGATTAAACCATTTATGTTAGTTTGCTGCCAAATTTCATATGATGATTAAGTCACTAAAAAACTACTTTTATTAGTAACTCAGGCTCTAATGTCTAATTCTAACGTGGGATTGTCAAATGAAACCAAATAAACTCAAAAGTATTTACTAGTAGCCGTCGAAGTTCCTCTATCCACCTTGTCTCACCATCAGATCAGCTCGATGATACTTAATAACTGCATTATCATCAGAAATACAAAAACCTGCAAAGTTTCAAGTCGATATGACAAGTCGAAGTAGGTAAATAAAGACTATTTAGATCTGTGAACATAGGTCAAAGTTCATGGTTTTTCCTGATTTTCTCGAAAACGATATTCTCTTAGTGTAACAATATATATGTGTAGCCACGTCTGTGCCGTCATCCACGGTCATGGTGAATCTTCAGGCATCTGTTTACATTCATACGTTCGTTTGCGCTAACCATCCCTTTATGATTTTTCCTTAATCGAGGTATAGTCTCGAGTAAAAGTTTTATCCAAATCAGCTTTGTCCTACCGTCCACGGACTTGACACCGGTAGCATTTTTTTATTATTTTGAACATACAGAACTACTCGCAACCACGTACCTATGTCTAAACTTAGTCTAGTGATGAAATGCAATGATGTAATAAACAGTAACATGTAATAAATCAGTCTTTACAATAGTATGAAAAGGCCAAATTTAAATTTTTGTTAGTTACTGTTTAACCAGATTCCGGCAATTATCCCAACGGTTATGTGTTTGACACAGGTCGACGTATATATGTAGGTACATATGTCTCATCGTATGTTCCGTCGTAATTACTTAAAAGATTAACAGATTTTGATGATTAAGTAATACGTCGTGTCGTTAGATTCGTTTTGATAACGTGAGTGTTATTGGGTATATTATTAAAATTCAAAATTGTTATTTTCAGATTTTCTAATTTGTGTTTAAAATTTCTACTACAACGAACTTTGATCAACGATACTACTAGATATCGGGTCGGCTAGATATCGGTAAGATAAATCCGCCTCGGTAAATATAAGCTCACCCGCAAAGTGAGTGTTCCTACTACCACTAGTGAGTGCCCTCTGAACGCCCAGGTCTCGCTCACCACCTCTCGCCGTGTGCACACTCAACAGCGATAATACAGTCCATATTACCACTGAAACGCATTTTTATTTAGTAGACCATCAGCATCACAACTGGAGCTTGGCATTCGACATTGTGAGTGTATACATATTTCGATTAGTTCTATTGAAACACTGCCAACGTAAACACGTTCACAATGCCGCAATATATATTTAAAAGTTGCAAAAATAATGCGCGAAGAAAAAATTTTTCAGACAGTGTCTTATTTTCGGTAAAAAAATGAAGATTAAGTCGATATTTAAAGATTTAACCCACGAAATAATATAAAAATGAAATTTTGAACAATTTTAAATCCGCTGAGAACGTTGGCCAAGTCGGCCAATATACGCGCCAATTCAAAGAAGCAAACAGAAACAAAACAACGATTTAGATCACAAAGCAAGAACGGGAAAAGTTGCTTTGTTTTTTGATATAAGGTTGATTTTACAATAAAGATTATAAAACACTTACGAAATGATCGTAAGTGTACGATGATAATTCGAAGATTTGTGACTTTATTACAATGTGCTATGGGGTTGACTAGCTTGAAAATAAAACTATTATAAGACTTTGTAATATTGTCTGTGTTTGTTTGTACACAAACACAGACAATATTGGTTGTAAAGGACCCATTTGGTTACCCTTTAAAGGGTTTTAACCTGGGTTTTTTAAAGGGTTTTAACAAGAAACCCTTTTCATAGGGTTACCCAGTCAACAGGCTTAATTAAATCATATGTTTAATAGGGTTAACCCTATCTGTTGGGTTAGGTATTAGGTTACCCAATAAATAATGGGTTACTTCATATATAACGTGTTATCTAACAAATATAATGGTACAATTTTAGTCTCTAAAATTATTAAGAAACATTACATATTAGAGTGTAGTATAGAAAACATAATAAAAACTTTTTAACAAAAAAATAAAAACCTACTTCAAACAAAAGCACTAAAAAGTAAAAAATAACTGATTGGTAGTTTTCATTTACTATACATACCTAATCAAATATTTCCGAAGTCGGTGTGCTTTGCTTTGTATGGGCTGGCACCGATTTCGAAAATATTTGATTAGGTATGTATTTAATAGGTAGGCTTTAATTACTTAGCCAAAGCACACCGACTTCGAAAATATTTGATTAGGTATGTATAGTAATTGAAAACTACCAATCAGTTATTTTTTACTTTTTAGTGCTTTTGTTTGAAGTCGGTTTTTATTTTTTTTGTTAAAAAGTTTTTATTTTTCCCTTATTAGCGTAGACAGTAGTAGAAAAGTAACGATTCTAACGTGTTAGGCTTGTCAAATCAAACAAAATAAGCCCAAACTCAAAGTATCTACTATTAGCCGTTGAAGAGTTCCACCTATCCACCTTCTGGCCTTGCCATCAGATCAGGTCAACAACACCGAACCACTGTACTATCAACGGAAATAGAAATACTTGCAAAGTTTCAAGTCAATATTACAATTAGAAGTAGGTTAAATTCATCATTAGTAGTTTTTCCACCCTTAGGGGTGGTATTTTTTTTTTTAAATTTAAATGGGACCAATCTGGAAGTATAGCCTTTCAAACGACACAAAAATTGTCCAAATCGGTTAATAAATGACGGAGTTCTGAGGTAACAAACATAAAAAAAAAAACATACAGTCGAATTGAGAACCTCCTCCTTTTTGAAGTCGGTTGAAAAGGCGGCAAACGAACACCTACGAGTATTAACGTGTACGGACATGTTTCTTTCGTTGTTTAGGTGTCTAGGCCTGAAGAAATGCAATTTTATTTGACAACACGCGAGTGATATGAAAAGTGCTCTTAGTCTTGTTATTTTAAAATGCCTCCAATTAAAACTGATGCTGTTCATCGATACTTTAATTATGACAACATCGAGAAGAAGAGTAAATGTTTGATATGTGGGAATAATTTAAAGGTAAGTTACATAATTATCATATTTAAAATTTAATAATTATTTATGAATCATTTACTATCTTCCAAAAGTTATTATTACTACTAACGTTGCACTTATTCATATGAGCGTTTTAATGAAAGAAATCCATATATTTCACTTATTTATATTAAGAATGTGTTTTTAAAAGTAAAAATGGAGCGAATTTTGATATTTTTTCCTACTTATGAATTATTTGTAATATTGTAAATTGTAGTTATAAATTCTGTAATTCAATATTTAATGAGTAAAAGTTGAGTTTTTCTCACGCTTTTCTCCGTAGAACTGCTTTTTGAGTCGGTGGTAGTAGCACACGGATAAACTACTGACGAATGACGATTAGGTATATAAAATAAAAACTTTTTAACAAAAAAATAAAAACCGACTTCAAACAAAAGCACTAAAAAGTGAAAAATAACTGATTGATAGTTTTCATTTACTATACATACCTAATCAAATATTTTCGAAGTCGGTGTGCTTTGCTTTGTATGGGCTGGCACCGATTTCGAAAATATTTGATTAAGTATGTATTTAATAGGTAGGCTTTAATTACTTAGCCAAAGCACACCGACTTCGAAAATATTTGATTAGGTATGTATAGTAAATGAAAACTATCAATCAGTTATTTTTCACTTTTTAGTGCTTTTGTTTGAAGTCGGTTTTTATTTTTTTGTTAAAAAGTTTTTATTTTTCCCTTTTTAGTGTAGACAGTAGTAGCAAAGTAAGGATTCTAACGTGTTAGGCTTGTCAAATCAAACAAAATAAGCCCAAACTCAAAGTATCTACTATTAG